AGAGAGAAACATCGATCAGCTGCCTCCTGCACATCTCCTACTGGGGATGTGCCCGTAACCCAGGTACATGCCCTTGACCGGAATCGAACCTGGGACCTTTCAGTCCACAGGCCGACGCTCTATCCACTGAGCCAAACCGGTTTCGACAATATGGATATATTTTTTAAAAATATATATTTTTATTGATTTCAGAGAGGAAGGGAGAGGGAGAGAGAGAAGCATCAATGATGAGAGAGAATCATTAATCAGCTGCCTCCTGCATGCCCGCTACTGAGAATTAAGCCTACAACTGGGCATGTGCCCTAGACCGGAATCAAACCCGGGATCCTTCAGTCCACAGGCCGACACTCCATCCATTGAGCCAAACCAGCTAGGGCAATGTGGACATATTTTTTAATGGCCAACTGTTATTAGCATCATTTGAAAAGAAAGGGCATTTTTACTTCAAAAAGGTAGGAGAAAAATAATCTCAGAATAAAGAATAGTTCTCTGCTTTGAATAAATTTAGATTTATGAAAAACTCATTACATTATCATTACCTTCCTCACTTCCTGGAGGACTGCTAAGCATTTCTGCTCTTGCCCTGGCTGGTGTGGCTCAGTTGGTTGGGCATCGTCCTGTGCATTGAAAGGTTGCTGGTTCAATCCCTGTCAAAGGCACATGCCCGGGTTTCTGGCTCAGTCCTTTGTAGGGGGCCTGCAGGAGGCAGCTGATTAATATTTCTCTCACATTGAAGTCTCTCTCTCTCTCTCTCTCTCTCTCTTCCTTCCTCTCTAAAAATCAATTTTTAAAAATCTTAAAAATTCTGCTCTCACCTCTAGACTCTGAGTTGACTCTTCAACATTCCTTCAACTGCTGGCTCTTTCTTGATTCTTTTTTGCCCTTGATGTCTCTAACATCTGTTCTTGGATATATACAGCTGTGAATTCCTAGTGTTTTAAGGCCACTTCGCCCAGCTGTCTTTTTTTCCCAAAGCCTGGTCTCAGGTTGCTCTTTTCACACCTCCATTCAGTAATTCATAAAAACATACCTGCACTTAAAGCCAACCATCAACTTTATGAAAAACTCATTACATTATCATTACCTTTCTCACTTCCTGGAGGACTGCTAAGCATTTTCATTGAATGCTTTTTATTGAATGTATTGGGTGACTGGTTAACAAAATTATACAGCACACTGCCTTGTATTTTTTTTTATATATTTTACTGATTTTTTACAGAGAGGAAGGGAGAGGGATAGAGAGTTAGAAACATCAACGAGAGAATCATTGATAGGCTGCCACCTGCACGCCCCACACTGGGGATGGAAATAGCCTGAGTGAGGAAATTATTTACTGTCTCCGTTTCCCTTATATCTCTCTGGTTTGGTGCTGGGCCTTTTGTTCTCTTCCTCTTCTGAGGAACTATATCATAGACTCCTTTGGCTTCAACTAACATCAGTATCCCAAAATCTCCATGATTTGTATTCTAAGCCCAGTTTTCCTCTCTATGCTCCAAACTCTCTGTCTACAGAACATTTCTATCTAATGTTTTATCTTCTCCAAAGATAAATTTATAATCTTTCTCCAACCCTACAAATCTCCTCCAGTATTCCCTCTGATATTAGAAACTGAAACCTCATCCACCCAGTTACTCAAATCAAACCAGGTGCCATCAGGCCGGCTGGAGTGGCTCAGTTGGTTAAGCATTGTCTTGTGCTGGGTCAGTTCCCGGTCAGCGCACGTACCTGGGTTTGATCACAAACAACATCTATGTTTTTTCTTTCCCTCCTCTCTCTAAGCATGTCCTCAGGTGAAAATGAGATATCATCCTTGATACCGGGTCCTTCTTTAATGCCCTCCCTCAAATCCAATCAATCACCAATATCTCTAATTTACCTCCTAAAATGCCCATTTTTCAATGTCTTCACTGCCATTCTATTATACTATATCTTTTTTTTAAAATATATTTTTATTGATTTCAGAGAGGAAGGGAGAGGGAGAGAGAGATAGAAACATCAATGATGAGAGAGAATCGTCGATCGGCTGCCTCCTGCACGCCCCCTATTAGGGATCGAGCCCACAACCCCTGGCATGGGCCCTTGACTGGAATCAAACCCTTCAGTCCGCAGGCTGACGCTCTATCCAATGAGCAAAACCAGCTAGGGCTGTACCATATCTTTTGCCTGGACTTACTGCAATACTCTTTTAATTCCTAACCTTCTCTTTTCTCCCTAAACCTATTTCCCACACTGCAACCAGAATTAAAGAGAGTTAACATCATCTTAAAACAGATACCTGAGAATGCTATTAACCTGTTACCAGCTGATCATTTGTAGCTAACATCTTCAGTTCCTATAGTTCTCCTTTCTGCCCAATTCTCCAGTTTATCTGGTGCCACCCTCTTTCTCATTATGTGCCAGTCATGCTGGCGTTCTTTCAGTTCCTCACTGGTGCCAAGCACTTTCCCTGCTTGGGGCCTTTGCACTATTGTTCCCCGGCTCCCTTCTCTCACTGTCTGGTCAATTCTGGTTATCCTTCAGGCTTTAGCTGAAGCTCACCACCTCAGGGAAAACTTCCTTTGTCCCCCACACCCCCAGGCCAGTTCCTCTGTGCTTTCTCATTGCACTTTGCGCAACTTTAACTGAACAACTATTTGCTTACAGTCGGTTTCCCTGACTAGTCTATAGGCTTAAGAGAACTCTTAAGTCGTTCTCTCCAGCACATTGCCTGGCCCTCAATAATTACTGGTTGAAAGAGGGATTGAATGCTTTATCTACCCAGTTGCAGAGCTGCAACTGGAACACAGACCCATGACTAGAACAGTTTTGTTTTCTCAAACCATGAGGGTCTGTCATATAAAATGATACCCCTCACTCCAGACTTCCTCTCCCTCTTCCCAGTGATTAAATATATTACTTTTGTGTGTTCTGTTCAGGGGCCTATCAAAATCAATCTGGTAAACTAAAATCCTAGTTTAGAGATTAATTACCCTTCTCTCCAAGAATATTTGCATTTTAACTGGGAACTCCCAGATGACAGTAAATAATCCCAAAGGATCTAATAATTTCAGGCACCATGAAGATATCATTATTGGGAGGAGGGAATTTTCACTATCATGCCATAATGGAATTACAGGAATCTACAATGTACTAGACTTGCTTCAATGTCTTTTTTTTAACGTTATCTTCACAACCAGTCTTGGGAGATACTATCCCCTTTATCAAATGAGGAAATCTCTGAAAGGTTTAGTAATTTACCAGATGTTGCAAATCTGGTCCCTCCCCACCCCCCAGGTTTGACTCCCGGTCAATCTTCCTTTTACTATGCTGATTTCAAGAATAAGTGTAGGCAACTGCTTACAGTTTATACATAAATCTGGGCCATGGGGTTAAGTGGCTGAGTAGCTTTAAAAGAGGGTTACTAGGTTTCTTATTCCCTTGGTGGGACCTATGCTCTGCGACTTGACATTTTATTGTCTTTTCCAGAAGTCCATCACATGTGGTGTCTGACTTTATTTATTCCAACCATAAATGCAATTATAGGCAGAAAAAAATGAATTGGGCACTGGGAGCATAATTATGACGCAAAATCCAATACGCCATGTTATTATTTATTTTACCACTGAGTCCACCAAAGTCTCCTGTATCCAGGGTGCGAATGGTATCAGGTTGACACTTAATAGTGCATTATTTATCTGTTTACTACTATTTGCAATACCAAAAGCTATTGGGCTATCCTAGGATCAAATATCCCTGCATGAGGTGGGTTTGCCTCTGATTAAAAATGCTTTTGCCCATCCTTTGATCGCTTCTGGATTCTGATTCTTGAATACAGGATTTCTCTTGGGGGCAGACTGACACTATTATGTTCTTCTTGGTGTCAGATACACCTATTTAATAACTTTGTGACTTTGAACACATTACTTAACTTCTCTGTGTTCCCCCCTCCCCCACGTTGACCCCCCCCCCCGCCCCCCTGCGTTGTAAAATGGAGAGACGGACAAATTATTTTGAAGATGCTGAAAGCCTTTATTAAGGCTTTGAAAACACTTAACGAAACCTAACACAGAGCAGGTATTCAAGTAGCATTAATTTCCTTTCTTCCTCAGATAAGGACATTTTCTTTTTTTAATTGATTTTAGAGAGAGAGGAAGGCGGGGAGAGGGCGGGGGGAGGGGAGGGGAGGGGAAGAGGGCGGGGAGAGGGAGAGGTCGGCGGTTCCACTGATCCGTGCACACACCAGCAGGCTCCGGCATGTGCTCACCGAGTGGAACCTGCCACAACCCGGCTCAGCGGGACGACGCTCCAACCAACTGAGCTACCGGGCGGGGCAGGACATTTCCTTTTGGAGTCCACAGACTTCATGGACCTAATAGATTCTCCGGACTCCTTGAAAGTCATGAGAAATTTTGTGTAAATGTGTGAGGGGTGACTTCATTGGAAACAAAGGCCACAGATTACGGGAGGAGGGGGGTAGTGACTATCCTAAAAAAATTGTAGATTCTAAAAAAAAAAAAAAAAAAAGTGTAGATTCTCCTCCCTGCAATGACTATTTCTTGCAGGGAACCACATTTCGGTGGGTGTTTCTGTTCTTGTTCCCTGGGCACGTTTTCGTTCGCTGTCTGCTAACAGGAGGATGACCGGGCCCCTGGGGAGGGGCGTCTTTCGGAGGCAGCGCCCCCAGGAAGTCTCCCTGGGGGCTCTGGGACCCTCTCCGGGGTTTCCTCCCCGGTGGGGGTGGGGTGCCATCTGCAGCTGGGAAGCAGGTTTATTTTAAGGTCTCTCAGGCTACAGGGGCCGGTTCCTCACCGAGAGGCAGGTTTTTGTGGGGTTTCTCCAGCTAAAGTTACTCCCTCCAGGTATTAGTTAAAAACCTCGTGGTACGACCCTGCGGTCCCCACCCTCCTAGGCCCCAACCCCGAGGCGGTGGGGGCGGGAAGGCCGCGCGCGCCGCTTCCGCTCCTCCGGCCCGCCAGAGGGCGCTGCGGCCCCGCCTCGTCCTTCTGGGGGCGCTTCGCGCCGGGCCCCTTCCGCGTGGGTGAGTGAATGTGAGAGTCAGCGCCGCGCCGCGCCGCGCTCGCCGTCCGCCTCCGCCGCTCAGCGCCCTCACTTCGGCGGCCAGGGGCGGGCGCGCGCGCCCAGCCATAGAGACGGGCGTTGAGCCCTCGGGCTAGAGCGTCGCCGAGTCGGAGCCGGAGCCGGAGCCGCGCGCTGTGTCTCCGCTGCGTCCGCCGAGGCCCAGAGTGTCAGGGACAAAAGCCGCCGCCGCGCCGCTTGCTCCCGCCGCTGGGGCTCATCCGCCGCCGCCGACGCTCTGAGGAGAGCCCGCCGCCGCCGCCACCCGCGAGGATCCGAGAGCCATGTCGGCCAGCAGCCTCCTGGAGCAGGTACAGGCCCGGCCCGCATGCCTCGGCCATTGTGTGAGGCGAGAGGGAGCCCGACCAGGCCCGGGCCCTTCGCCCCCGGTCGGGCCGAGCCGAGGCGGCGCCTCTCGCGGGCCGGGTTTCGGGCCTCTCAGGCCGGCCGCGCCCTGCGCCTCGCCCTCAGCCCGCTCTTCCCGCTTCTCCCCGGTCCTCGCTGCCCAACGCCCGCGCCGCCTTTCCTCCTCAGCGGGCCTCGTCTTCCTTCCTCGTTCCCTTCCCCTTCCCTGAAGCCCGGGCCCCGTCGCGTCGCCGCTGGCGCGTCCCCCGCTTTTTCTCGGCGGCCTCGCCGGCCTAGCGCTTTCCCCCGCCTCCCGTTCTCCGGCCTCCCCCTCCACCACCATTCCTGACGCCGACCCCGAGGCCTGCTCCTTCCTGCCTTTCTCCGGCCCGGCTTTAATTTGTCTTCTCTTTTCCATTTCTCCCTCGGATACCTTGCTGCTCGGCGACGTTTCCTTCGCCCGCAGAGACCAAAAGGTCAAGGAAACAAAGGTGAGCCCGGCCCCGCCGGTGGCCTGGAGAGGGGGACGCGGGGTAGTGGGGGCGGGGCCCCCGGGAAGCGCCCCGAGGCCGGGATCCTTGGGAAGCCCCGGGGTTCGCAGGTGCCTCGCTCACACGGAAGGATTTGACCCTTTCGGCGTGTTCTTTCCGCGGGCGAACAGCTCTCCAGCGAACAAGGAGTCATTCACTGAGGGTGGGGGTGGATGCGGTTGTGCAATGTCTCAGGTCCCTGGTTTCCTGTAGGTCTTAGAAGGCCTTTGTGTTTCGTCCTCGTGGATCACACTCTGGAAGTGCCCGCATGTGACCCAAGTGGAGCGGGTGGGAGGAAGCGGGAGGGCGCGGGGAGCGAGAGGAACCAATAAAAGGACCTTTTTAGATCCACTTGCTTGGGGTGGAGGGAGACATTTTTATTGACGGAATGCTGCTCAGCATGCACTCCCATCCTTAGTGTTTTGAAATGCAAACGTAATTTCTCTGTTTTAGTAAGGTTTTTCTCTGGTTAGGATATATTTGGTGACTTTGGGAGGGAGGCTTGTATGACTGGGACGTTCTTAATTTGAATTTTTTCCTCTAGTTCAAAATGGATCTGTACATCAAAAGGATGGATTAAATGATGACGATTTTGAACCTTACTTGAGTCCCCAGGCAAGGCCCGTGAGTAATTAACCATTTACATGCCTGATCAAAGGGTGTATAAATTCTTTCTTTTCCCTATGAGTCTCACTTTCGGGGTGACTGTCTTCCTACTAGTCAATGTGTTATAAAAAGTTGTTACAAATGTTATAGATCCCTAGGATTCCCATCTCTCTTGTCAGCAAACATACTGTATTCTGAGGCTAGTTCTGATGCACTTTACAGCGTACTAACAGTAACACCTGTTTGAGTAATTCTTGCTCCTTACCAAGAATATACAATGTAAAACTTAATCCTTTCTAGTGTTAAATATTCTGAGTTTTCACCCCAAACTCTTTTTCTTTTCTGGAAATTGGATTCATATGTGATGGGAAAAACTAGTAAAAAAAATCAATCACCTGAAATTTATTAAGCGCTGCAGAACTGGGTATTCTTCTCCTCTGCTCACTAGTTAGTGGGATCTTAGATTAGAACTATTTTGCGTTAGGTTCTCATTTTTCGAGTTGAGCTGTATCTATAGGTATAGAGAACAACTTTGGATTCTCATATAGGGAGCTTTAGGATTTATGAAATTGAGTTTAAAAAAGGTGAAATGCTGTGTAGCACAAATTAAGATAAAAATTGAGGTTTTTGTAATTTAACCTATCTTCTAATGTGAAGATTAGTTGCATACTTTAGTGTGGCAGCTCTTTTGTATAAATATCTTTTGTCCCAAAGACATAGTTACAAAGTTGTAGCAAATACAGCTTCCAATTAATAAACCAAAAGGCAATTACTCATCCAAAATACCCTAAAAGAAGAAAAAGCTTATAGAATATTTATATAAATTCTGAACAGATGCTGTGTTATAGCCTAGAACCGTGGTTGGTAAACTGTGGCTCGCGAGCCACATGCGGCTCTTTGGCCCCTTGAGTGTGGCTCTTCCTAAACCTTAGGAGTACCCTAATTAAGTTAATAACAATGTACCTACCTGTATAGTTTAAGTTTAAAAAATTTGGCTCTCAAAAGAAATTTCAATCGTTGTACTGTTGATATTTGACTCTGTTGACTAATGAGTTTGCCGACCACTGGTCTAGAATAACTTGGCATATTAGTGTATGTCCATATTTGGACCTAATTCTTACATAAAACTTTTAGATTCCTTAGGTAAAATTTTCTGCATTGAATATATAGAACTCACTTAACTGATTGGAAAAAAGTTTTTGCAGAAGATAACTAGTTCATCAGGAAAAGTAGGGAAGGAAGTAAAGGAACGAACTATTAATAGATTCTTGCTATTGAAGTAGTTTGCTTACGTAATTATAACAGGGAGAGAGGGAGCATTTGGAAATAAAATTCTAGGTAGTTCTTGTGAAACATTGTGTAATTCAGATTTTTGAGTTCAGTAGCATGTGGGAACCTGCTACTTCAGTTGTAGGCATTTAGCTATATAATAGCATAACCAGTGATAGTTTGTTTTTTTCTTTCTCAAGTAAGCTAAAGCTTAAATGTCTTTATGTAAAAAAAAATATTGGGGAAAAGGGGAGAATCATAATGTCAACAATAAAAAATAAACTAAAAAAAAAACTTAAAAAATATGTTGTGAGGAAATAGAAATCTTGGTTGAGTAGATCTGAGAGTGTCCATTGTAGTTTACTTTCAAAAGTAATTCATCTACTTTTTTAAACAATTTTTCATCACCTTATGTTGGAATAATCCTTCAGGCTTAATCCAGTCACTATAGACTGAATTTTTAATAAAATATGGATTTGCTAAAGTATTAACACTATCTTTGAGAAATACTTAATTTTAAGAGAAGTCTGTGTGCAGAAAGACAGCTTGATTTTTATTTTATTTGATTTTTTAGGGAAAATTTAAATTGGCAGAGAAAAGCACATTTTATCTAACCACATTACTGGAAATGTTTAATCTTCAAGAGATGTGTTTTAGTGGCTAGGGAGTAGCACTCTTACCTTTGGTAATATAAACTTCAGCCTTAAGATAGTGGTAGTCATCCACATCTCTTAAAAATAAAACTCCATATTTTTGATTAGTTAATGGATTCTTATATACCAGAGTTATTTGAGTTGAGCAGTATACTATAGAGACCAATTTTATGTATCTCTAGCTTAAAAACTCTCACTTAAGGGACTATTCTGTGAGCTATAGAATTTATAAAAAAAAGGGAAAATATGTTCAGCACAAACTAAAATGAAATCAAGAATGATTGAGGTTTTTGCAATGTAATCTTATGTGAAGACTAGTTGCATATAAGTTTATATTTCTGGTTATTATTTAGGATAATTCCTCTTTTTTAAGGATAATGGACTGTATGGTACCTTCAGAATTATACTCCTGTTTTTATATGTTTTTTTAAAATTGTCTTTTAGAGCGAGAGGAGGGGAGAGAGAGATAGAAACATTGGTGGGAGGGAAATGTCATTGATCATCTGCCTCCTGCACACCTCCTTCTGGGGATGGAGCCCACAACTGGGCATGTCCCTGATCGGGAATAGAACCATGACCTCCTGGTTCGTAGTTTGATGCTCAACCACTGAGCCACACAGACTGAAATATACTCCTCTGTTTTTAATGGAAAAGTTGGGTGTGCATTTTAGATTATAGCAGTTCATTTTATAGGAGAAGCAGAACAGGTAGCAACATTTTTTTCTAGTTTTTTCTCTGGAAACTACTGTACATTTCCTTTCCAGGTTATAATTAAATAGTGACATCTGTTGATGTTCCCAGATGGTTTGCCAGGAGGCTACCACAGTAAATTAGATGTAGTGAACCTTGTTTTTTTAAAAAAACATACAAATTTATTTGATACATACCAAAATGTCTTTAAATTATATATTCTTTTTATACTTTGATAATTGAAAATAGCCTGGCTGGTGTACCTCAGTGGTTGAGCATTGACCTATGAACCAGTTCACAGTTTGATTCCTGGTTAGGGCATTTGCCCAGGTTGCGGATTGCAGGCTTGATCCCCAGTAGGGAGTGTGGAAGAGGCAGCCGATTGATGATTCTCTCTCATCATTGATGTTTCTATCTCTCCCTTTCCCTTCCTCTTTGAAATCAATAGAAATATATTTTAAAAAAAGGAAATAATTTCATGCACCAATATTTTAACAGAATACAGTGCAGGATTTATGAATGTAAAAATCATACCATAAAAATATTTACTAATAAGATTTAAGAAGTTTTCTTGACACACAGACACTATTGCTCTTTAAATATAGTTGCAGAACCTTGCTTTTTGGTTTATGGCTGATGGATGGCTACACAGATTTTTGGGAGAGAACTTTAAATTTCCAATTCTTTTTGTCTTATTTTACCTATTATAGTATGGTTTTAATAGTTTACTAGTTGTTGAGATGCGACCATCTGAAATGGTCACTCTCCTTTTTTTATGGTAATGGATGAAATAGTTGAATTATATGAATAATTGGGAAAGGAAATGTCCTGATTGTTTATTTTTGTGTTTAGTTTAGTTGTGTGTTTTTTTTTTCTTCCACAGAATAATGCATATACTGCCATGTCAGATTCCTACCTACCCAGTTACTACAGCCCCTCCATTGGCTTCTCCTATTCTTTGGGTGAAGCTGCTTGGTCTACTGGGGGTGACACAGCCATGCCCTATCTAACTTCTTATGGACAGCTGAGCAACGGAGAGCCTCACTTCCTACCAGATGCAATGTTTGGACAACCAGGAGCCCTTGGTAGCACTCCGTTTCTTGGTCAGCATGGTTTTAATTTCTTTCCCAGTGGTATTGACTTCTCAGCTTGGGGAAATAACAGTTCTCAGGGACAGTCTACTCAGAGCTCTGGATATAGTAGCAATTATGCTTATGCACCTAGCTCCTTAGGTGGAGCCATGATTGATGGACAGTCCGCTTTTGCCAGTGAGACCCTCAATAAAGCTCCTGGCATGAATACTATAGACCAAGGGATGGCAGCACTGAAGTTGAGTAGCACAGAAGTTGCAAGCAATGTTCCAAAAGTTGTAGGCTCTGCTGTTGGTAGTGGGTCCATTACTAGTAACATTGTGGCTTCTAATAGTTTGCCTCCAGCTACCATTGCTCCTCCAAAACCAGCATCTTGGGCTGATATTGCTAGTAAGCCTGCTAAACAGCAACCTAAGTTGAAGACGAAGAATGGCATTGCAGGGTCAAGTCTACCACCACCCCCAATAAAGCATAACATGGATATTGGAACTTGGGATAACAAGGGTCCTGTGGCAAAAGCCCCCTCACAGGCTTTGGTTCAGAATATAGGTCAGCAGCCAACCCAGGGGTCTCCCCAGCCTGTCGGTCAACAGGCTAACAATAGCCCACCAGTGGCTCAAGCATCAGTAGGGCAACAGACACAGCCATTGCCCCCACCTCCACCACAGTCTGCCCAGCTCTCAGTCCAACAACAGGCAGCTCAGCCAACCCGCTGGGTAGCACCTCGGAACCGTGGCAGTGGGTTTGGTCATAATGGAGTGGATGGTAATGGAGTAGGACAGTCTCAGGCTGGATCTGGATCTACTCCTTCAGAACCTCACCCAGTGTTGGAGAAGCTACGGTCCATTAATAATTATAACCCTAAGGATTTTGACTGGAATCTGAAACATGGCCGGGTTTTCATCATTAAGAGCTACTCTGAGGACGATATCCACCGTTCCATTAAGTATAATATCTGGTGCAGCACAGAGCATGGTAACAAGAGACTGGATGCTGCTTATCGCTCCATGAACGGGAAAGGCCCCGTTTACTTACTTTTCAGTGTCAACGGCAGTGGACACTTCTGTGGCGTTGCAGAAATGAAATCTGCTGTGGACTATAACACATGTGCAGGTGTGTGGTCCCAGGACAAATGGAAGGGTCGTTTTGATGTCAGGTGGATTTTTGTGAAGGACGTTCCCAATAGCCAGCTGCGACACATTCGCCTAGAGAACAACGAGAATAAACCAGTGACCAACTCCAGGGACACTCAGGAAGTGCCTCTGGAAAAGGCTAAGCAGGTGTTGAAAATCATAGCCAGCTACAAGCACACCACTTCCATTTTTGATGACTTCTCACACTATGAGAAACGCCAAGAGGAAGAAGAAAGTGTTAAAAAGGTAATCTGCTTATAATTCTTAAGACTTTTAGGGAAGGGGAGAAGGAACTAGAAAGAACAGGAGACGTATTATACTGAATAATAAAAGCTTTAATAAAAGCTCTGGAAATAACAAGTATCACATAACAGTTCAGTCCTTTATGGGAGTCTAATTGGGTCTTAACTACTTGAACCTTAGTGTGAAGGAATGTGGGAATATTAATGGAGGACAGAACTGTGCTTAAGGGAAAACAATGTATAGAAAATGAATTTACATGATGTAGAAAGAGGTGAAGAATGAGCCTGAAAGAATTGCAAAGGGAATGATTGAAGTGATAAAACTATGAAAATTAAAGTTGGAAAAGATTGAGGCTGTAATAAGGCAGAGAAAAAAGTTACAAGTTCTGTTGTAATAAACTTTTGGCTTTAATGGGTACTGTGGTTTTCCCCAAGAGTTGGTGTCTCACCAAGCTTTGCCATCATTTTTCAGCCTGCCTTCTGACAACTGGCAATGTTAAGTGGATGTTTTTAAAAAATAATATGTTTTTATTCATTTAAGAGAGGAAAGGAGAGGGAGAGAGAGAGAGAGAAACATCAATGATGAGAGAGAATCTTTGATTGGCTGCCACCTGCACGCCCCACACTGGGGATGAAGCCTGCAACCTGGGCATATGCCTTGACCTGGAATTGAACTGTGACCTCTCGGTTCATAGGTCGATGCTCAACCACTGAACCATGCTGACCAGGCCATTAAGTGGATGTTTTTAAGAACTTACTTTCTTGCTGCTATCCTTGGTGTCCTGCTTGCTTTTTTTTTTTTTTTTGTAAATATATTTTATTGATTTTTTACAGAGAGGAAGGGAGAGAGATAGAGAGTCAGAAACATCGATGAGAGAGAAACATGGACCAGCCGCCTCCTGCACATCCCCCACCGGGGATGTGCCCGCAACCCAGGTACATGCCCTTGACCGGAATCGAACCTGGGACCTTTCAGTCCGCAGGCCGACGCTCTATCCACTGAGCCAAACCGGTTTCGGCTTGCTTACTTTTTTTCAAAACCTTTTTTCCATTGGAAAAGTTAAACATGTATTACATAAAACTTGGATAATCACAAAAGGCTGACCTCTTGCTCCTAACATTTTATTGTATTCCTAAAGAGTCGCTTTCTCTTGTTTCCTTTGTAACAAATGAGAATCTTGGTTAGATTGATGGAGAATAGATACAAACTAAAGAGTTGGTAATACTGCTTGGTCCTTGTGTACTGAGTTAATGTAAATGTCAGGACCATAAAAGAATGTTAAAATACTGGTTGGGGTATGTCATAGATTATATAGGACTTAGACATATATAATGTGTAGGAAGTAGGTAGAAAGATTATGGGCAAGGAGGAAATTACAAAAAAAAAAAAAGATCTGTAAATGAATGACTGAGAGAATCCTGAGTAGTTAGCCTTAAATGTAAAATACGCCTCCCCCCCCGCCCCCCATGAGGGTGGGAGGAGGTAGAAGAGGGTATAAGAATAAATGGTGATGGAAGGAGACTTGACTTGAGGTGGTGAATACACAATACAATATACAGATGATGTATTATAGAATTGTATACCTGAAACCTATATAATTTTATTAACCAATGTTACCCCAATAAATTTAATTAAAAATAAAAACAAAACCTAACAAGCTTATGTAAATATATTTTTCTTAAATTGGTTATGAATTCATAGGTATCTTATATATTTGATGTAGAAACCGAGGCATTTGTTATGCCTCTATAAAAACTTTCTCCTTTGAACAGTGGGAGGAGGGCTCTTTGGTAGATTTTTCACCTCCTTAACACAGGATTAGAGGTGCATAGTTGTTCAACTAAAGTGTAATGGTTGCCATTTTATATTCTAATGTGTACAGACAAATAAATGGAGATACACTTGTCAGTGATGCCAAAAGTATTGGGGATATAGAGCCAGATTACCGAAAAGTTGGCTGTCAGAAACTTTATCCTTTAAACTCTCCTTTTCCCCAAAGTTTAACAGTTTTAACTTAAAATCTTCAATAATCATGTAGAAAAAGGTAGTTTAGTGGTTATGTTTGCCAGACATCTGAAAGGCTCTAAAGATGTCTTCACAGATCCCTGTTTCTAGAGATACAAGGAAGGCACCATGTAGTGGCATGACAGATTTTTAACGTGTGAAGGGGTGTCCAGGTGCTTGGTTTAACCATTTGAAACATGTATAATATTTATCTCATCAGTTTTCTTTCATCTGCAAAGTTCTGTCCTATATCTTGTGGTTAAAAGCAGGAAAGCAGAGACAGGAATAATTTTAGAAATGTAGATACTAAGATAAACTGATATTATGTGTTAGAACCATGGAGAAACTGGTTTAAAAATGAAGTAGCAAGAGGACTGTTAATTTACGTAAACTTTTAGTCAAGTATGTATTTGTGTTAAATTCACTTGAGTGGTTTAATGCATAATTGAACTTCATAAGTAGGTGTAAGATTCATATTTTGAAATAGACCAGTCTTACAATGTTTTAATAGTGAATATAATAATATTTAGGGTCTTTATGAAGTTAACTAATGGATCTTTGTTAAAAACCATTCCATAAAGGCCTTGGAATATTTTAATTGTTCTCAGGTTGGGGAACAAACCACCAGAAAAAAAAAAAAAGGCTTTGATTATATGTGTCAGATTACTTTTTAGTTTACCTTCTGTAAGAGCTTTACTGGGCTTTCAGGAAGGTCCGTTACCATTTCAGTCAGTATTACCTTACTCCTCTGTTGCCCACTGTTATCCTTAACATCCTTACATAAGTGACTGGAAACTATTGTTTTAGTCTCTACTAGGCTTCCAAAACAAAACAAGTTTGATGAGAATGGGACCGATAGCTTATTGGGGCAGTAGATAGCCTTCTTAGGTTTGGTGTTTGTGCGCCTTTGTATTATTTACAAGATTGCAAAAAATCTTCATGCCAAATGGGCATGGTAATTCAGTATGTAGGGAAATACTTAACATTCATCCTGAAAATGATGTCACAGCTGTTCCAAAGTTTTGAGATTGGGCATGTATCTTGGCAGAGCACACTGAAGCAAAATTATAGCCATTTTTGCCTAGCAGTATTACTGACTTGTTCTGTCACATGATATCATTCAGTATCATAGAAGCTTCAAGCATTAGAGCTCTCTGGCTTGAAAATTCTGATATGTGGTCTGCTTTGTTGTATACTATAGATACAGTTTATAACCTGTGTTTGCTTAGAACCTTCCCCTAATTGTTACATATTCTGTGACATCACTTTTGATGGACTTCATAGTATTCTATCTTATAATTTATTAGTTCTTAATTGTTGAGCATGTCAGCTCTTTAATAATTTGTTCCATCTAAAATAAAATGTTCACTGCAGTGAACATTAATATAAATATTGATTCACATCTATCCTTGAGTGTTACTACTGGGTCAAAGGATATATGCTTTTTGAAGATCTTGGCTGTGCTAATATATTGCCATATGGGCCTTTTTCATTCTGAAAAAAATTTTAAGAGAATTAATGCCAGCTGTTAGAAGAAGACTACAGTGTGTTAATAACTCCCTTTGACTCAACTTTGGAATAGTCTGGCATTATTTGGAATAGTCCTGCATTAGTGATAATTTTTTTTATAAACCTCATAATGGTTGTTTTAGTTTTTGTCTTATATTTGTAGTCTTTAAGTAAAAATAAGAATAGTAGAGGGGACTAGGAACTGCATAATTTTCTTAAAGCCTAGCCCAATGTTATACTCAATCAGGCATGGGTAAATAATTTTTTTTTTTTTTTTAATAACTGGAAAGCTAATGGGAGACTGGGGAGAAAGACAGATCTAAAGAAGATGTGATTATGGTGATAACAGCTCAAGATGTGTATTTTAAAAAAAATTCTTTGCTACTAGGTGAGATTAAGAGGATTTCTTAAAATCCTCTAAAATTTCCCAAGTGGAAGACCCAAGTGGAAGACCCAAGTGGATATGGTGATTAGGAGTGTGTTTGGATATACTTAAAATTTATTATGCTGTTTAAGAATTGAGATGAAGCTTTTTATTTTATTTTTTTGAACAACTTTACTGTGTACTAGACCAGGAGTTTCTCTAGTAACTACGAGAGAGCCTTACATTAGTGGCACAGGTAACAGTATAAAACAGAAAGTGTTTTCTCAAGGTATGTACAGGGTGCCAATTTGGAAGCTTGAAGATTGCCAAACCCAGCCTGGGGCGTGGGTGGATTGGTCATAGAAAAATCCTGGAAGAAGCGATCTCTTAGCTGAACCTTGAAGATGTATAGAAGGTAGGTGTTTGGGAAGAATGGTTCATAACAGCCTAAATCTGTGACACCGTGTAGCTATAACTTGAACAAGAAAGGTCTAATTGGTATTTGTGGAACATGTTTCCCAAAAGGGAAGTTTGAAGATTAGATTGGTAGAAGGGAATTGAATGAAGTGTATATGTACTTAATTTGATACAGAAGAAATCTAAGACAGGTCAAGTATAAAGTTGGCTTGAAAAAGTATTGAGAGTTTAAAAGAATTAGGAGTAAAGTCTAATTTGAATCAAGATGAAGCTGCTCATTGATGTGATCTTTCCATGGAAAGTGATGGGAAGCTTGTTTGGAAGTTAAGGTGTACCAGTATGTGGTAATAATAGTTATCATTACTGAAAACAGATATCTTTTTATTACAAATGTGTCCTCATCCCCCCCATTAACCCCCAACCTTCCCCCCCCCCCCCCGCCCCTGAATACATATATCTTCTTCCCACAATATGTTTCATATATGTTATCTTAATTCTCATCATAATAGTCCCTTAGTGTTTGGTGGAATGTTTAGCTTAGAAGAGATCATTTTGAAGGGGAACATAATAGCTGTTATAAAATGCTTTTAAAGCTCTACTGGTGGGTTTATTCTCTATGCCAAAGATAGCACTAGAGCCGAACCGGTTTGGCTCAGTGGATAGAGCGTCTGCCTGCGGACTCAGGGGTCCCGGGTTCGATTCTGGTCAA